AATCCCCGTCGCCTCCGCGATCGCAGCCTTGGCGGCAGAGCGGTCCTCCTGGTCCTGCTTCAGGCCCTCCTTCGTTTCCGCGAGCGTGGCCTCGGAGTCCTTCAGCTCGCTGGCGAGCTGGGGGAGCTTCGTCTCCGCGTCGCTGATGCTCTTGGAGAGGTCGCCAGACCCAGTCTTGCAGTAACACATAAACTTCGAGAACAATTCTGACTCGGTCTCTCCTTCTTGAGTCACCTTCTTCTGCATGGCCTGGAGCATCTGGACGACCTTGCGGACCGGATTGGCGCGGGTCGCCGCGGCGTCCAGCTCACCCGCTGCGGCGGCGAGGACCAGTACGAGCAGACCGGCGCGCATGGTTGAGAAGGCTGCGGTGGCTACAATGGGGCGCCGCGGAGCGGTCGGATGGCACGGGAGCGTTTCGCTCGAGATTGCCTTGGGCCACAATGGCTACGGATGATGACGACGACTATGATGATGATGGAAGCGATGGAAATGATGATGATGATGATGATGCTGATGATGATGATGATGGCAAAGCTGATGATGAATATGATCCTAATGATGATGATGCTGATGTTGTTGATGATGATGATGCTGATGATGACGATGGTGATTATGATGCTGATGATGATGCTGCTGATGATGCTGCTGATTATGATGATGATGATGATGATGATGATGATGATGATGATGATGATGATGATGATGATGATGATGATGATGATGATTGGTGGTGGTGGTGGTGGTGGTGGTGGTGGTGGTGATGATGATGATGATGATGATGATGATGATGATGATGATGATGATGATGATGATGATGATTGGTGGTGGTGATGATGATCCGTCGACCCCCGCTTGCCCGGGGTGGAGAAGGCGTGTGAGACATTTGGCCGTCTCCCACTTCCTTTCCCCCTCCTCCACGGTCCAACATCCGATTAGAGAGGGGGGGGGTCTCCGGGCTCCCCAACGCCCCCCATGGGGTCACCAGAGCCTCCAACGAGCCCCCAGACAGCCCAAAAGGGTCCACACAGAGCGCTAAGACTGTCCCAGAGAGCGTCGAGACGGCCCAGGGTAGCCCCACGACGGTCCTATGTGGCTTCGAGACGGCGCAAGAGGCCCCCAAGACGGCCCAAGAGTGCTTCCAGGCAACCGCCGAGAGAAGCCCTACAAGCAGAAAGTGCCCCATTCCTGTAGGAAAACGTTCATTTTTAGCTTACTCGCCTTTTTCGCTTTGGCAGCGTCATCTGGCCCCCAACACCGTCGCAGGACGAGCCATGAGGCCCCCAAGAGAACCCCAAGACGGCTCAAGATAGTCCGAAGACGGCCCCAGGGACCCCCAAGACGGCCCAAGAGAGGCCCTCTTGGGCCCCAAGAGGAGCTCAAGAGGGCGAATACGAGCTGTGAATTCGAGCCTTTCCCCCAAGATGACCCCAAGCCCTCTAGAGGATCCAAGGCGCCCCTCAGAGGCGCCAAGAGGCCTCCAAGAAGCCCCCACGAGGGTCCCGAGAGGCCCCCGAGAAGTTCAAACAAGCCCCCCAGACACCACAATGAGCACTCCAAGATGCCCCTGAGAAGCATCCCAAGAGCCCCTCAAATGCATCCACGCGCCTCTTGACCCACTTCATTCCTTCCACGAGCGCTGCAAACTCTCACTGCATCTCAACATTCCGTGGACGCCCCCCAGTGGCCGTCACGAGACCCTGACAACGCCCCGAAGCGATTTCCAGAACGCTTTACGATTGCCTCTCAATCTTCCCTGAGCCTTGCCCACAGACTCCCGCAGGCATAGCCGCGGAGACCGCCTACCCACATTCACAAGGGGTCAGACCGCGCACGACATGATCGGCCCCAGCCGTCCACATCGAACTCCAGTCTCCCAGAGCCCCAAAATCCTGCTCGAGAAAACGGGCGACGAACCTGACATCGTGTCCTCCAAGCCGGCCCAGACTTCCGACATAGACCGCCCGGCTCAGAAGGTCCCAAGAGAGCCCGCCAGGCCCCTAAGATAATCGAGATACGGTGCAATGGGTTCAGAACCCGTGCATTGCTCCGAATGACTTCCGCGACCGTGCATTACTCTTCGTCTCTTCTGGGGGGCGGCGGAATGGCGCAAGCCACTGGAATAACAATGATGATGATACTGCTGACGATACTGATGACGGTGATGACGATAATGATGGTGATGATTATTATGATGATGCTGATGATGGTATTGCTGGTGATGGTGATGATGCTGATTATGATGATGATTCTGAGGATGATGAGTCTGATGATGAGCTTGAAGATAGTATTAGTACTATAGTAAAGTGTGGTGATGATGACGATGGCGATGATAATGGTAATGATACTGACGATGACACTGATACTTCTGATGATGAAGATGATGCTGGTGATGCTGATGATGATGACGACGATGACGATGGCGATGACGATGACGACGACGATGATGATGACGATGATGATGATGATGATGATGAGGAGGAGGAGGAGGAGGAGGAGGAGGAGGAGGAGGAGGAGGAGGAGGAAGATGAGGATGAGGAGGAGGATATGGAGAAAGAGAAGGTGGAAAAGGAGGAGGAGGATGAGAGGGGATGGCGGAGGATGACCTGCATGGCGCCGTCTCCTCCACTCACTCCGCCAGGAGGAACACCAAAAAACATGTGTGGGTGTCGAACTGGCCCTGCTGGCGCCCCCGGGCCGCCATTTGACCCGTGATCTGAGACGTCGTCGGTCCAGAGCCCGTTCCCCAGAGGGGTGCCAGAGGTGCACAACCATATTCAAATTCCGAGCTGTCGGCCCTGGAGGCTCCCAGGAGGCCCCAAGAGGTCCCCAGGAGGCCCCAACAGGCCCCCCAGAGGCCCCAAGAGACCCCCAAGAGACCCCCAGGAGGCTCCCAAGAGGCACACCAATAGAGCCCCAAATAAGCAAACATCGTCGAGTCCCAATTGGAACACTTATGTTTTTGGCGTGTTCGCGGTCATCTCGGGGCTGTCGTTGGTCGTCTCGGGGCCTCCTTAGGCCGTCTCGGGGCTTTTCTGGGGAGCTTCTGTGCAGTTTGGGGGCCCTCCGGATCGTTTGGTGTCAAGAGATTCTCGGCCACTACGGGTACGGCCGGTCAATGCTGGGAAGTCTTGCGAGTTGGTTCCTGACACTGCGTGGGTCGTTCAAAGTTGAGCGATCGCGGTTTTCTGGTAGTGCGGATCGTTCGATGTCATTCCAAGCAGTCTGCGCCACTGGCCGAACCTCTATTGGCGAGGCGAGGGGTGGGGAGAGAAAGACCCAAGGGGAGGTTTGATGGCCTCCTGGGCGAAGAAGTGGCGGCAGACATCACCAGCAGGAAGGACGATGAGGAGGGGGGAGCACCAGGACGACGGAGTACTGAGACAGGGACAGACGGAGGGAGGACAATTAGGAAAGGAGATGGGGGAGGAGGAGGAGCAGGAGGAGGAGGAGGAGGAAGCGGAGGAGGAGGAGGAGGAGGAGGAGGAGGAGGAGGAGGAGGAGGAGGAGGAGGAGGAGAAGGACGACGACGACGACGAGGATGGTGGTCGGCTGGTGCGAGGCTGGAGTTCGTACATGTCTGCCGCCTGGGGAAGCGAGATCCCAGGACCCCAGGAGAAGGTTGACGTGGATGCCGCTGGGGGCCCCCCGAGAACCCCCAAACACATCTGTGCCAACGGCCACCCGCCTCCCAGGGTCCAGCAGAGAGGCCGCCTCCCGGGGCGGGGGGCACGTGCGTATCTGCGGTGTCCGCGCCGGCGCGCTCAGTGTGGAGCTCCTCCGCGTCTGAGTGCCCTCCGCCTCCAGACGAGCGCGTCCCACTGCTCGCAGAGTGCCTGCTCGCAAATGGCCTGGCCTGCGCCGCGGGGGATCTACGATACATCACATCGAGGCAGACACGTGTTTTTCGGGCGTTTGCGAGGAGGCACTTGGCGAGTCGTGGAACGCGCTCGGTGATAAGTGCCCTCCGCCTCCTCCCGTCCTCCGCGGCCGCGCTGTCTGTCTTCTCCCCCCTCCGCCTGCATGCCTCCCAACTCGCGCTTCGGTCGCCCCGATCGCTCACCGCTGGTTGCGGCTCCTCTGCCTCGCCGCTGAGGAAGGAAGTATGTGCGGTATGCGGGGCACACTGGGGCCAAAGACGTTCCCCTCGCGCTCCACAACAATCAGCAACATAGTGGAGGCTAGTCCACAGGACACCTTCTAAAAGAAACCCAACCCTGAGACCCCAGGACGTCCACTGATTCTTGGTGTGGGGAAGTCGCGCTTTCCATCGCCAAACCATCGAAACCCAAGAAACCCAGGGCACCCTGGAGGCGAGCAGGATGTTTTTTTGGCATGGGCCTCCACAGTATGGGGTATGCGGGGCATACTTGGGCCAAACACGTTCCCCTCGCGCTCAACCATACTCGGCAATTTAAACCATCCGTCGTCGATGTTGGGCCGCTCTGTGGCGGGGGGGGGGGTCATGCCGCCCTGCCCTCTCTCTGGACCTCTCCCACAACACATGATGACCAGGAATTCCAGGCGAAACCAGCCGTGGCGACGAGAACGTTCAAGGGGGTCCAGAGAACTGCCCCCGACGCCAACATCCTCGAATACAAGTCCCATTTCATCATCCCTCCTCGCGCCTGCGACCCGAGGTGCTTACGGGCCTTGCGCCCAACGCTTGGTCGCCCACTCCCCTTGCCGATTAGTTTGTTGTATGTTTGTTTGTGCGGTGTGTGTGTGTGTGTGGAGATGGCGCCGCAGCTAGACTGCCGATCCTCTCGTCACTCTGCTTCGCGCGTATCCCTGGATGGAGCATGGACTGGTGCGAGGCGCGGAAGAGGGGAGGACAAAGAGAGAAGGACAAAGAGGGCACCCTTCCTCACCCAGCCCTGCAACACCACACATCCAGACGACTGAGCACGGCCGAGCGCCCCGGCCGGCGTCCGACCGGCTTCGCTCCCTCCTTCTGGGGGAGGGGACGCTGCGTTGCACGAGCGGGGGCCCTGCCTGTCCTAAAACTCGAGGCATTCCTGTGACACCCAGCGCGGGCTCGACGCGGATGGCGGCGCGAATGGGGGCCGACAAGACCGCCGAGCATGCCACGCAGGGGACAGGGCGGGGGGCCTGCGACTGCTGCTGCTGCAGCGCCTGCGCCTGCTGCTGCGACATGAACGCGAACTGCTGGGAAGGCTGCCCCTGGGCAGGAGGAGGAGGAGGAGGAGGAGGAAACGGAGGAGGAAGAGGAGGACGAGGAGGAGGAGGACGGAGGAGCCGGGCGGGACGGGGACGAGCTCCCCCTGAGGATGAGTATAGGGAGGGGGCTTGGCGTGGGGCCTCTCGGCGGCTCTTGGAGCCATCGCATCCCCGCGGCCCTCCGCGCTCTGCAGGAGGAGGGGGGGAGCTCGAGAAGATGAAGTCTAACTAAGATGGACTGGAGCTGGTGCCGATCCACAAGCAGGATCTGATCGTTTCATGTCACCGGATGCACACGGTGGGCGTCTTCGCGCCGCAAGCTCGAGTGCCCTGGAACGGCGAATGTAGAGATGGGTCAGGGCAGCACTGGGCAGAGGCAGGGACGGAGGAGGACCGAATAGAGGAGAGATAAGACACTACACACGTAGCAGTATTGAACTCCGTATCGCTCCTTTTGCCTCAGACCTCAGACCTGGAGCTTCACAGGCAACAACAAAGCTAAGACGTGCTCACGGTTGCACCCGCGCACGGAAACCGAACACACACACACATAGACACACACACACTGACACACACACACAGACACACACACACGCACACACACACGAACACACACAAACACACACAAACACGCACACACATGTACATACATAAATATATGTATATATATATATGTATATGTATATATATAGATATAAACACATAGAATCATAACGATACATATTCATATATATATATATACACATATATATATATGCATTCAAGGCTGCATTGGCGTTTCGCGCCATGCACCTTGCTCCGTGAAGCTTTGAAGCGGTTGGCCTATCACGCGTTTTCTTTTCCCGTTGAGACGTGCTCGCTCTCTCGTATCACGGAGAAGCGGGGGAAGGGCAGAAGGAAACAGTCAATTTGGGACGGGCGAAGACGGTGTGTCGGAGACCACGGGCGTACGGAATGGCGTACATGGAAACAGCTGCAGTCCTGAGTGCGCAACAAAATTTACAGAAAAGTGGTTGCGAACCAGGGGATGTGGGCAAACTGCGGCTTTCCATAATGAAATACCATTTGAGCGGGCGAGAACTCAGGGATCTACTCGGGCATGCCGGCCGCCTTGGGGTCAGTTTGGGGCGGTCATGGGGCCGCCAGTGGACAGTTTCGAAGCCGTCTTGGGCCCCCGTACGGCTGTTGTGAAGCCGGAACACATGTTCGGTGCCTCGCCGGCGTTTTCGGACGCATGGCAAGCCGAAGGAGGACATAGTTATAGCTATATATAAATATGTGTATATATATATGTGTGTGTGCACAAACACACCTATAGATAGATAGATAGATAGATAGATAGGTAGATATATAGATAGATAAATAGATAGATAAATAGATAGATAGATCCGGCGCGACGTCCAAAAATCCTCGGAACAGCCTGAGCATCAATTCCTGAGCTTCAGCTCTACTGGGGGTTAGGTGCCGGGGTGGCTCTGCCAGGGTAGGGGGAGGGGTTGTGGTGGTTCGATGTACTTTCTCGGGCAAAATCGGAGCTCCAGCTCACTGTGGGACGGCCCCCTCGCCCAGGAGGGCCCCAACATGGGCCAAGAGGGCCCCGAGTCGCCGAACGATCGCTACAAGACGCCCAATATGTCCCCAAGACGGCTCCAGAAACCTCCAGGATGCCCTCAGAAGCCCTGAAAAAAAAAGGCCTCCCAAAGAAGGCCCAAAGAAGCCAAAACTGCCCCGATCACTGCGGAAAAACGTACATGATTAACGTATTCCCTTTTTGTGTTTTCAAAGCATCGCAGACGCCACAAGAGAGCCCCACAACGGCCCCAAAAGACGCCAACAGGGCTCCAAGACGGCCCAGGAAGGGCCCAAAATGGCCCAGGAGGGCCCCTGAAAAGGCCCGAGAGGGCCCCAGGACGGGCCAAAGAGGCGCTTGAGAGGGCGCCTAAACGGTGGAAGAAATGCCGAAGACGGCCCAGGACGCCCCCAGCAGGCCCCAAGAGGCCCCCAAGAGGCCTGAAGAGGCCCCAAGACGCCTCCTACTGCGAAGGGGCCCCTGAAGCACCCCGAAGGCCCCCTGCGAGTTTCAAAAAATGCATCCAAGACGCACGCAGACAGCTCTAGCACAAAGCTTTTTAGAGACCGCGCCAAATCGGTGAAGTGTCAACCCAAAGAGGGCCAACACCTGGCCCCAAAGAGGCTTTCCAACAATCGCCAGACACCTCCAACAACCGCCGGACAGATCCTCATCCTCCTCATGCTCCTCCTTCTCCCCCTCCCCCTCTTCCACCTCCCGCTTCCTGCCCCTCCCCCTCCCCGCCCCCCTCCACCTCATCATGATCCTCCTCCTCCTCCTCATCCTACTCCGTCGCCTCCATTCCCAATCCTCATCATCATCATCCTCACCGCTCGCCGCCGTCGCCGGTCATGACCGCCATCGCGTGCTTCCAGCAGCAACGGAAGCGCCCTGGATCGGCGGCACTGGCCAGAGGCCACTATGATATACATATATATATATATATATATATACACATACATATACATACATACATATATATATATAAATATATATATACATGTATATATATATATTATGGAGGTGGGATTGTTAATTTCATCCATGACCCTTCATCGGAATCAACATAGAAAACGATAAGTTCAGGTCGGCATAGTCTCGTCGGTACGCAGGCTCAGCCAGCTCTGGGGAATGAGCTCGCGCACCTGGCGAGGTGACTTGAGCTTCAGATGGTCGACAATCTGTCTGTCGGTCGGAACCCAGAATGCTGTCTGCTTTGTGTTCTCATCGTGGGATTCCGTTGTGGTGTGTACGGATGCTGCAATGTCAATGCTGAGGCGGCGCTCCAAGGTGGTGGAAAGGGCCCCCTCCTCGGTAACAACATCATACAACGACTTGCAATCAATGGCCACCTGAAAGACATGAGTACCGCGGGAAGCTCTCCGGATAGGACAACGCCTGCGTCCATCGCCGTCGCTTTGGCTGCTGGGGCACCGCGGTCCACTGCAAGACAATTAAGGCTTGCACAGAAAGTCATGAAGCCAGCCTGACTCAAATGCTCTCGAGCGTTCGCCCAAGATGCATCCGCGAAGGTCACAAGGCAGATCGAGCGAACTCCAAACCTTCTACCAGTATACGGCTGATAGCCATGAGGTTTGTGTTGGTGAAAGTCGATCCTTGTCGAAGTGATCCAGCTGCCGCCATATCTGGTCGAGACTGTCCAACTAGCCATTGACACGATCCGGCTCCGCTGGAAAAGTTAGTCTTCTCCTCGGCCGTCAAAGCTGCGTCTGGTGTAGTCAGTCTCCATGGTGGGAGAGATGCTGCGGCGCGTCGTGCCGAGAACCCGTTCTGGTTGACGAAGATGTTGGCGGCGATTTGTTCACAGGCATGCTTGCCGCAACATGTCAACTCATTGCCCCAGCCCTTGCCAGAAGTGGAGCGGTGGCGGATCTGCTCAATCAGGTCGGCACCCGCCAATTGGTCAACTCCACCGACGAGGCCGCCCACGCGAAGGCACACGAGGTGCGCAAGCTGCCCTGACTTGCAGAGCGCGAGCGAGGCCTTGCCCTGGAGGCCCCCACACGCCGCCCCCGCCCGCGCGCGCGCTTTCACGGAGGCGCAGTGAGACATCACACCCGTCGCCCAGCGACACCCTCCACCCATCGCAGAGCGAGACCCCCGGCGCGGCGAGGCGCCACCTCAGTCGCGGAGCGAGGACTCTCAGCAACCAGCCGCGGAGCGAGACTCCCGCGTTTGCATCGCATGGCGCCTGCCCTCTTTGCATGGGGATCGCGTGGGGGTAGAATTGTGGATGCCACGACAATGGACACCCTAACAGTCCTATCATCGAATAAACAAGTTTTGAATAACAAATGTGTGAAACATGTCCTGCCTGAAAGATATTTGAAGCATCGTTTACACTGTTTAAGCAGGTTTAACACATGTTCTAGACATCTGGAAATTATTTGGCAACATGCTTCCTCTCGACTGACCGTCCTCCACAAGGGTAGAGGCGAGGAGGGGCATTTCCCCTCGGGCGCAGGCGAAGCAGGTGTTTGGCGAGGCTACAGGGCCCGCGCAGCGCGAGTGCGCACTGGAGCACCCCGCCCCGCACACAATCTTGACGAGGGGGTGGGATGCGTGCGCGTGTCCTCTTGTGCTCCCTCTCCTCCTTGTCCTTCCCCTCCCCTTCCTTCTCGACCTGCTGCTACCGCTCCGCCTCCTCCTCCTCCTCCTCGTCCTCCTCCTCATCTTTCTCGACCTGCTCCTTCTCTCCCCTTCTCATCCTCATCCCCTCCCTTCCACTTCCATCCTCGCGCCCCCTCATCCCTCGTGCTCCTCCTGCTCCTCCTGCTTCTCCTCCTCCTCCTCCTCCTCCTCCTCCTGCTTCTCCTCCTCCTCCTCTGCATCCTCCTCCTCCTCCTCCTCCTCCTCCTCCTCTTCCTCCTTCCCCTCTCCCCTTCCAGTGTTGGCTGCCCATGGTGAGCACAAAGCGAGCACGGCCGCTGCTGTCCGCATGCCGCCCCTGCGAGGAGTGGTCACACCGCTCCCGCATCCAACCGTGTGCGGCACCCAAAGCAGCCCCCCTCTTCGTCCCCCGCGCCGCGCCGCGGAACCACGGCCCCCAGGAAGCCGCGCATGCGCAGCGCCGCCCTAGAGAGCAGCATGACCACCCTCGCAAGAGGCGCCCCAGACGAGCGAAGCCGCCCAGTAAGCGCACCCAAAGAAGGAACCGAGCCGGGCAGGGCTGTTCAGTCCACGCCCAAGGCCGCTTCGTAAACGCCAGCCATGGCGGTCGGGGCGGTCTCTCCTCACTCGGGCTGCTCCGCGTCGGCCCTCCCGCAGCGCCGCGCTCCCAGCGCCACCCGCTCCAGGCCCTAGGCCTGGTCGTGGCACCGCCACGTGCACGGAGGCCGCCGTCGCAGGTGCCGCTTCTCGCGGCTCCCGGGGCGATCCTCCAGTCGCGCACAGGCTCCTACGCAGAGCTCCATGAGGCCGCCGCCAAGGTGCGCGTCACTGTCGACGCCAGTTGGGCCAGTACTCATCACGAGCGTGCGACAGGCCACACGGAGGCCGCCTCACCCGCCAACGGGCCGAGAACGGCCGAGGTTGCTGCACGCATGGCGCTCAACAGCGCGTCCATCTTCTCTCCCATCGCGCAGACGACGGAGCAAGAAGCAGAATGCCTGGCTCGCAATGTGTGTGTGTGTGTGTGCTGTGCCCAAGCTTCCCGACCTGCCCACGCTAGGCGATAGCCATCTCTGTCATACAACGTCAGGCCACGGACTCGCGGCCCCAGCCGAACCACGTGGACGGGGCCGTCTACCAACCAGTCCAAAGCCGAGGTCTCGCCCTCGATCCCATCAAACTAAGCAGCGCTGAGAAGCTGACCAGGACAGCAGGCGCATGGACACTAATCTCCAGGACACCGATGCTGCCGCGGTCCAGACGCATCCCCCCGCCGTCAATATGCTCGACCGACCTGCCCGCCTTGCCCGCCTCTGGACGACGGCGGGGGAGCGTACCGTCGACGAAAGTTTCGGCGTCGCTCCCAGCGACGCCGACCTCGCTGGTTTCGCTGGCGCTGGTTTCGCTGGCGCTGGTTTCGCCCCGCTGGTTTCGCCGACGGCTCGTGTCGCCGGCGCTGGTTTCGCAGGCGCTGGTTTCGCCCCGCTGGTTTCGCCGGCGGCTGGTTTCGCCGGCGGCTGGCTTGGCCGGCGCTGGTTTCGCTGGCGCTGGTTTCGCCGACGCGAGCCGTAACGGGCGGGTCGGGTCAGGCGGGCGAACCCTAGCGGGCGGGTCAGGACGCGCGAACCCTAACGGACGGGTCGGGTCGGGCGGGCGGACCTAGCGGGCGGGCGGACCCTAGCGGGCGGGTTGGGTCGGGTGTTGCGGGCGGACCCTGTCGGGCGGGTCGGGTCGGGCGGGCGAGACATTAATGTGGGGCACGCTCAACTGAGCACGCGCGAACCCTAACGGGCGGGTCGGGTCGGGCGGGCGGACCCCAGCGGGCGGGTCGGGTGGGGTCGGGCGGGCGGACCCGAACCCTAACGGGCGGGTCGGGTCGGGCGGGCGGACCCTAGCGGGCGGGTCGGGGCGGATCGGGAGAGCGGGCGGGCGGGACACTAAAATGTGGGGCGCGCTCGACCGAGCACGCGCGAACCCTAATGGGCGGGTCGGGTCGGGCGGGCGGACCCCAGCGGGCGGGTCGGGTCGGGTCGGACGGACGCACCCTGACGGGCGGGTCGGGTCGGGCGGGCGGGACATTAAAGTGTGGGGCGCGCTCGACCGAGCCCGCGCGAACTCGAACGGGCCGGTCAGGTCGGGCGGGCGGACCCTGGCGGGCGCATCGGGTCGGGCAGTTTCGTCGACGCCAGCTGGTTTCTCCGACGGCTGCTGGTTTCGCCGACAGGAGCTGGTTTCGCCGTCGGAGCTGGTTTCGCCGACGGACTTGGCTTCGCCGGGCGGCGAAACCAGCCGGGCGAAACCAACTGGGCGAAACCAGCCGGGCGAAACCAGCCGTCGGCGAAACCAGCGGTCGCCACCGAGCGGACGACGTATGGGCGGGCTTCTATGGCGGAGGATCCTCTTCGGGTATCCCCGATGCCGACGCGCGTCGCCTAAACATGATGAAGGCGAACGTTGCAGCCCTCCCGATCTTCATCGCTGAACAGCGGGCTGCCCCCAGGCCGCCTGTTGCTTCCATGCTCTGGAGGCTGAACGAACGAATCAGACGCAGAGGCCCGCTGATCACGGAACGCAGCTCGCGCAGGCATTCCAAAATATCATGGATCAGCTGGCCCAGATGCGGGTCAGACCTCCAATGCCACGCTGCCACGCCAGCTGCAGCGCCAAGCCCAGCGGTGTGCGAGCATGCGCCGAAAGCCCACTGCGGCTCTGACGCAATCCGAAGCTGCACCAGACAGCTGCAAGCGCGGCTGCGCTTTCAGAGCCGCGCGCAGGAGCCGGGCAGCGGACGGCATCTAACCCAGGGCTGCTGGCGAACAGAGATGGGCCATCTGGGTCGCGCAAGGTGACAGGAGACGCGAATCCCGCTAGAAGCTAATCAGGCATGCTAGCCCATGGGTCGACGAACAAAAAAAACATGCCGAAATAAGTCTTGCTCCATCCTTGGGCCAGTGCAGCTGTGGAGCGGCCCGGCCGGCTACTAACTACTGCCGTGCTCACTCCCTGGCAAGATGTCCCTCTGTCCTCTGTCAGATGACCGTTTTCCTGGTGGCCGCTCTTCCGTCTCACCAATGGTGCGCTAATAACCGATCGGGAGATTGAAAACACACAACATGGG